ACTGAATTTTTTTCACTGTTTCAAATACCCGGGTTCCTGCTGTGATCTGAGCACTGCCTTAGGAGCTTATGACACCTCTGAACACCAGAGAGGAAGACCTTATATTGTGGCTCATCTTCTTCTTCCCTAACTGGATTAATTCTCATTTCCCACGAATGTAAAATCAGAATTTGAGAGTGAAACATTTATGCAGATGGCCCGAAACAGGAGCCCAAAGCCATGTATTAAGCACTTGAAATATGGCAGGTCAAAACAGAGTGAGCCCTAAGTACAAAATACACACTGGCGTTCTCTGAGGATGAGGAAGGAATGTATACATCTCCCCTATATTTTTATATTGATTATACATGGAAACGATAATACTTGACATGGTGGGTTAAATAGACCTATTATTTACATGAATGTTATCTATTTTTCTTCTTTCAAGTGACTACTAGAAAGTTAATTTACTTCTCATATTTCTAACAGCATGCAACTAGTTTTTTGTCTTTATTACAATGAAGAAACTGAAACCTAAAGAAGTCTCTGCTAAGACCAGAATCCAGGTCTCTCCCCGGTCTAAGAGGCAAGAGGGGGTGAATGTAAAGACTGCAGAGGGCCGAGCTCCAGGACCCAGCAGTAGTGCTAGGTCCTAAATGAGCAACCCTGGGCAAACACCTGGACACACAGCAGGTACTCATTAGTATCTGATTCGCCTCTGCTCTGGATCCTACTCTCTCTACTGCAGCCCCCCCCACCCCCCCATACAAGGATTCCAGGTGAGAGACAGAGCTGTCCAAGACCATCATCCAACATCGGAGTCCTGGTGCCTGTCTCTCACCATGACAAAGAGAGAGAGGGCAGGATCCACGGCAAATGTTTGGGGTGAGGGATACGCAGCTGGGAAAGGTGGAAGGTTACCTCTACTCCCATCCTGTGAGGGCTAAGCAAGGTGAGAGAAGCTAGTGGCAACCGAAGCCAGTGAAGGTAGAGTGGCTTTCAATCCATGGATAATTTTCTTCAGTGAGTTTTTACAGGAGGGAGAACAGGGAAACAGATATGGAATTTTAAAAGAGGTGAGGTGCGGGAGAACGGGCCCCCCAACACAGGAGAAGGTCAGTCAGAAGTCTGTGCCGATGGCCCGAAGCTGGCTTAAAATAAAGTTCGGCAAAGAAGCAGCCACTCACTTGTTCAAATATCTTCATAAGTACTCTGTAAGGTAAGGTAGGACAGTTGGGAATACATCTGCAACAGGGGTCAAGAACAGTCAGGGAGGGGCAGGTCTCGAGGACACTAGGGGACCCAGGGGAGCCGCAGTTGCTGGGAACTCAGACCAGTGTCCCAGGTACCTGGGATCACTGAATTGCCAGTGATGAGGAGACTGCTATTGCTCTCACGGAGCTGCTGTCTACGGGCTCCTAAACCAAGTCACTGATGACAGTGGGAAACAACAAACTAAAAACGAAAGGATCGGCAGAACCAGCAACTGAGTGAACAGGGGCACAGAGAGGCTGAACATGGCCTGAGGCTGGTGTGGGGAAGGTGCAAAGGGTGGGAAGTGCTTAAGGGAGCCAGTCTGGAGCTCGGCTTAGGAGTTGCAGCTGTTGGTCAATTAGCAGCCACTGCCCCTCAGCTCCAAATCTATACTCCTGTCTAGGCTGGCAGCTTTGGATCCCAAAAGTTCACTGAGTGCATGGGCCCCCTAGGAGAGCACCTACTTTCAGCATGACCTCTTTTCACAAGGAACCAGTCAACCGCCAGCAGAACATATAGCGCTTTCTATGTGCAAGGCCATGCTCCAGGTAAATGTGAGGGCTCCATGGTGAATACCCATCCTGCTCTCCTGGTGCCCACATCCCAGGGACACAGGACAAAACTGAGCTCTCTGGGTGCAACTTAACACCAACCCAGTCCCACTCACACACCATTCCCTTGGCCTCCAGCACCGGGCATGAACCACTGCCTACAAAGCGCTCAACTCTTTACTCAATCACTGTTATCCAAGAAGTAAAAATGCATGCAGTTTAGTAACCAAGACTCTCAAATGCTCTGAGACTGAAAAACATCCTACCCGGAGAGTTGCTTAATATCAGCAATTATTTCTTCATATTGGCTTTTTCCTGTTGTTCCAAGAAGTTCTACAAACAGTTCTAGAATAAGCCACAGGGGGTAGATGTACAAAAGCTATTAATTCAAAACAACTCATAAAGTTTCCATGCATAGGTGGGTTACGTAAAGGTGCTTCCTCTAAATCATTTAAATTCTAAATATAAGCTTCCTTACAATGCATGTTCTAAAAGGATTAAAAAAAAAAAATCAGGGCTTGGAAATATCCCAAGAGATTGGCTCTACTGATGTGCCCAAATAGATTTAAACAATTCTTTAAATATGGGGCAGTCTGCTTCATCATAGTACAATTCATGCCAATTTGATGTACTACAGTTAAACCAATATGGCAGAAGGCACTTTTCCATCTTGCCCTGTTTATATCAACAACAATGCAAAAAAGCAAAAGACTAGCAGAGAAATGTCTTAGTCCAAGTAACACCTCAGATTCTGCCTTGCTCCCTCTTAACCCCCAAACACAAAGTAACAGATGCAGCTCCAAGACAGGTAGGGGAACCAAGAAACCCAACAACACAAGTTTAACTTATGCAGCTAGTCTTGGACTTGTGCAACTTCTCTCATATTGCAAAATGGTTTTGACAGATTCATGCACAGCTCTCAGGTTGCCTTTATTTGGTGACTAATTCCACCAACAAAACATATCAAAGAGGAAGGTTGAAGACAAGGTACTACTTAGTAGAACAGTAATAAGTAAAATTTTTAATTTTGTATCAAATGTGTGCAGTGAATGCACCTGGGAGAACAAGGGCACTATAGTTCACTTGTAAATTATCTTCATTGCAGAGCTATTCCTTGGACGTTCAGAAGTAGGAGGAATTCTCTGTCTCCAATGGGCAGTGCAAGATGTACTTAAGTCTCCCCTGGCCTTGAACACTAGGGGATGTAGGCTTAATATGTGTACTGCTGGGAGAGAGGGTAGAAGTCAGGATGTGATACTGGTAGCTACTCATACTCAAAGTAGTGCTGAAGACACTAAGTAGGGAGAGTCCCAGATGCTGGACTAAGTCACAATCATTCTGACAAACAAACCAAGAGAAAATTCTTTCCTTCAGATTACACAAATTTAATTTCTGGATAGAAGACAGTGATTATGGGAGAAAGCATAAAAAGTATGCCTGTTAGTTCTACATGCCCACATTAAAGTTACTTATTAAATTAGGAATTTTTGTTTTTGTAACAATTTAGAGGTTTCTGAGCAGAAAAAAAAGAAACACTTTAAAGAAACTTTGATGCTAGATAATATCCTCCCCCTTCAACTACCCAGCATTTATATACAGTATATCAAAATCATCTTTCTGAAAACTCCTTATTGAGAATACATGTACTCTAAAGCCAGAAGTATGTCTTAAGAAACAAAGTCTCACTCTCTGAAATACACTAAGCTGGACTCCAGGGATACTAAGTTCTCCATTCACACAAACAAAAATGTCAAAGGACAGAACCACTACTTGGTCCAGCTCAGACCGCTTTCCTGAAAGGAAGGGGAAAGCCAGCATTCTTTAGTCCCCACCCACCCTCCAGCCTCCAGCCGCAGGGGCTAACTTGGCTGGTCTCAACCCCTAGTAATACCAGCGGTGATTGAAGGCACAGTACTGCTCTCCATAAGCTCTCAGCAGCCTGGCTTGCTTCCTGGCTCACCGTCCTGCCAATTCACTCACGTTTAAAGCTGGACGCAGCCAACAATGGCCACCTTCACCCCACCCCCAGGGCAGCTGGGGCAGCCAGGAGTCTACTTCAGGAGGATTCAATAACCTTAACTTTTATTTCCTGGGGTGGTTCAGTCTTCCAACTCGCCTACCAAATATCCGGAACACTAAGTGATTGCAATACAGATGTGTACTACATGGTCTTTAGGAAGGCTTACTGTAAGTGTACAAGTACTTAGTTGCATGTTATACATGTTATATATGTTATATATAGTTCCATTTTTTAAAAACTTCAGAAGCAACAGCCCCCCCCCCCCCAGGAATTAGTCAAAGCCCGTAGCGGGCTTCCTCCGGGTTGGCATGGAGCGGACAGTCGCGCCTCAGAAGCTCTGTTCTTCAGAGGCTGGCCAGGCACTTCCCCCCGGATCCCGCCCTGACTTCCAAGGGGCGCCGTCTGGTTTCCGTGCCTGCTCGCCCGGTCCCGGCCTTAAGTGTGCAGGCTGCGGACCCGCGCGCTCCAGGGTCCCAGTCCTGCTGCTCCCCTCCCAGCCCGCCCCTTGCATCTCAAGGTTTGCGCGAAATGAGTCCCACAAGTGCGACACCTTCCGGGGCAGCCGCGCCTCTGAAGCCTCCAGCGGCCCCGCTATCCGAGTCAACAGACTGGCCGAGGCTCTGAGCCTGGGCGGGGAGCCCTAAGCAGCAGTCTCGAAAGGGGAGGAACCAGGTTTCGCAGACCTCGAACTCTCGAAAGTTTCCGAGAGACGCGAGGCCCACGAGTCATTCCTGCAGGGTGTCTGCGGCTCACGGTGCGCCCCGGTGAGCGGGTGGCCGAGACGGGTTGGAAAGCTTCTCTGCAAACCCGGGGCCGAGCACCACCCCCTACCCCGCCAGGCGCGCGCCCCGATCGCCGGCCCCACAGCGCGCGGCCCCCGAGGACCGGGGCTCGGAAAGGGTGGCCACCCTGGGCCAAGCAGCCCGCGGGACCCGCGCAGGGAACTCGCTGAAGTTCGCCAAACCTCAGCTGCGGACTCCAGGAGCGCTAGATCCCTCCCGGCGTCTCTTCTGGCGCCAGGGGGCGGGGTGGCGAGGGGCGCGGTCCCCACACCTGTCTGCGCCCCCTCCGCTCCCGCTGCGCAGGGGGCTGAGCCAAGTTGGGTGGGGACAGACCCCCGAGGGCGGGCGCGAGGCGAGGCTCGGGGTACCAGCGCCGCACCCCGGGGTCTTTAGAAGAAGGAGCTGTGCACTCACCTGGGCGGTGGGAGAGGAGGCGACGGAGGCAGGTCCTCGGCGTGGGCGGCCCCCAGCAGGAGCGGCGTGGTCACGACGGCCCCCAGGCAGCGGCACCGAGTGAGCCGTCCAGCCGCCGCCCCCTCCGTTCTTATCCGGCCTGGCCACGCCCCCGCCGGCCACCCCCGCCCCCGCCCCCGCCCCGAGGCCAGCCCTCCCGAGGGAGCCAAAGCGGGGCGGAGCCGAGCCCGCCCTAGGGATCCTTCAACCCGGGTGCTGAGGGAGGGGCAGGGCGAACGCAGCCCTCTAATTGGCTCCTCGGGTGAATGGTTGCCAGGAGACGAGTAAATCTTCCACGGCGGGAAGGGGCGGGGTGCCAAAGGAGGAGCACTGCGCAGGCGCAATAGAGAGGGCCTGTGTCCACGCACTTTTCACTCCGGAGTTACTGGGACACTTTCTGTTTTCCTCTGCATTCTCTTCTGCCAAACCCAGCGCGTAACCTTTCTCCATCCCGCCTTTCCCATCTCTATCCTGCTCTCTCCCAGGCATTTTTCTTTTGCTGCTCTGGGGGATTTTCGAGCTGGTTCTCCCGAGGTCCGGGAGTGGGGAGTGAGACGCCCTCTCCTACCAAGGGCGTGTTTGTGAAGGCGGAAAACACAAGGTTTGTGGGTGCTGGGAACCTTTCTGATTACCCGAGGAAATTGGCCGAAGGTGAAGACATGGTCATGGGGAAAGGGTGCAGTTGGTTCGCCGGCCGCAGGGACCACCTGTGTGCGGTTAGTGCGGCCGAGGAGCGCTGGGGATGCATCGCCAATCCTGGCAGCCGCTACTGCTTTTGCCCTGCTCGGGACACCGCAGGACTTGGTGGGGAAAGTTACGTAACATGCAGGCGGGGCCTGGACACCGTTCGTCCCAGCCAGCTGCTGAACGCCAGGTTCTAAATTCAGACTAATTTTATATCTCCACTAATTATCCATAAGGGCTTGGATGAGCAATTTAACCAACCTTCCATAAACCTCCACTTCCTATCTGTAGGATGGGACAACTTTGTAGGCTTATATAGGTGTTTAGAAATACTTGGGAAGGTATTAATTACTGCAGTACTTGATATAAAGTGCTATTTATAGATAATAGTAGCCAATTGTTATTTATAAATAAATACTTATTGAACTTGTTTGGATCCTCTACTAGTTGCTGGGGGAAAGACTACTGTTGGAATGCACTATTTCTCCCCTCCCCCTTTTTATTCCTGTGTTAAATAAGTGTACGCTCAGTGTCTGCCAAGCTATGAAAAGTTCTCACACATATGCCCTCCCTGGCGAGGGGGAGGGGAGTTTCCAGAACCTGAATGGGAAACAGTATATGCATGAGGGCACGTAGGGGAAAGTCACACCGACCCTATTGTGCAACACAAAATTTAAGATATATTATCTGACTTTTTTTATTTTTACTTTTAGTTTTTTGAGGTATCACATTCAATAAAGCGTGCCTACTGATGAATTTTTCATACACATACATCCATCTAACTGCTGCCCAGAACAAGATACGCCACATCTTTTTGCAGCTTATTCGTACCCCTTCTCACTCAGTATCTCGCAGAGATAGCCACCATTGTAACCTCTTATCACCATACATTAGGCTTGGCAATGTTTAAACCTGATGTGGAGGAAATGCACAGTATGTTTGCTTTCGTGTCTTCTGTCTTCTTTGGCTCAAAAGTGTGTCTGAGATTCATACATGTTCACTCTTTTTCATTACTGTGCATGACTTCATTTTATAGTCAGCAGTTTATGTACTCATTCAACTGTTGGTGGACACCCGAGTTGCTTCAAGTTTTTGCCTTTTGTCTTAGATACTTTCCTCTCCTTGCTGAGACAAACTATCTGACACCCAAAGTTAAAAGAGGAAAGGTTTGTTTAGCTTACAGTTCATAGAGATTTCAGTTCAGAGCTGGCTGGCTCCAAGGCAGAGTGGCACATGGCAGAGGGGCATCTCAGGAGAACAACAGTAACAAGAGACCTTAATAACATCTTCCTGCCCCTTTTATCTTATCCAGGCTACTTAGGGCAGGTAGCACTCACACCCTTAATCCTAGTGCCCTTGAGCCTAGCATTGCAGCATGAATCAATTCCCTAGTCACATACCCTAGATCCAGCCACCTCAGAAAAAGCCCCACCCAGGACCACATGAGGCTTTGAAGGGACATCTAGGCACAAGCCACAACACCTTTCATAAATGAAGCTGCTTAGAAGCATTCTCACACATGTCTCTTAGTAGACATAGTATTCGTTTATGTCAGGATTTATACTCAGGATTGGAATCCCTGGCTCACTGAGTTTATATATATTAAACTTTAAATGTAGTGCCAAATAGTTTACCAAGTGGTAGAACAATGACAACAAAAGTAAGGAAATAAAGAAAAATTTAAAAGATTTTAAAATTAAAGAAAAAAATTAAAAACAGAAAAAGCTTTAAAAGGAGAAAACAACAAAGTGGTGTAACAGTTTATGTCCCAAGCAGTGTGAGATTTTTGATGGTTCCATACTATTGACATTGTCTGTTTTTGAATTTAAAAATGGGATGTGTATTTCATCCAGATTTAGATTTTCAATTCTCTGTTGATCAATTATGCTGAGCAACTTTTCAGATGCTTATTAGCCTTTCAGGACCCTTTTAGGCAAGTGTGTGTTCAAGTCTTTTGCCCATTTGTGGGTCGTTGTCTGTCTTAATGATATGAGTACTGTACATATTCTGGATATGAGTCCTTTGTTTCATATATGTATTACAAATATCTTCTGATTTATGGCTTTTATTATTTTAATTGTATTGTTTGTTGAAAACAATCTTCATTTTAAATGTCCATTTTATTGATCTTATCTTCTATGGCTAGCATTTTTAATGTCCTTTTAAGAAATCTCTGCTTACCTAAACCATAGAGATAATCTCCTTAGTGTTTTCTAAGTCTAGATTGTTTTAACTTTCACTCTCTGTGAAGCCTGGGGCAAGTAACTTGCTTTCATAAACCTCCAGTCACAATAAAACTAATGCAAATTATGAAAATTAATTAAATTAATGAAATTTGTTTCAACTTCCTGATCAAAATTAGGTAATTCTATGGTGAGCCAGAAAAGAAATTCATCATATATTCACACATGTGTATATATTTTTGTTTGGGACATTTCTTGACTTTTTTAGAATTTTATTTCAGATTTTTATTTGTCTACAATACACTGTGTTCTTTCTACCTCATTAAACTGTGGCATCCCAGAGCTGGATGCAGTCTCAGGAAGTGGCCAGCTGCTGCCCGCTGGACATGGACCCAGGTACTGAAACTGCCCTTCCAAGATTAGCAGTGTCTCCTTGCCAAATTCCAGCCTTCGTTGGAGCAAATCCAATCAAAATGGTTTAAAGGCTGTTTTTGCATTTTGAGTGATTCACTGATTTATACTTAGGAAAGCTGAGGGAGAAGTCAGAGGAGTGAAACAGTCAATGCAAATGTGTCTCTAGTGATGACCCTGAAAATGTTTTATGTCTCCATAGAACCTTTTATACCTACACCAGGGAAGCAAAGAAATTCTGCTGTTACTCTTTTAGTCAGGCAAGAAAGACCTTTTGTGCAGTATCTAGACAGCCCTTAATTTATCAGTTTCTTAGGTATTGAAGCTCATAAGAGCACAGCTCAGTTATTTTCACAAACTGAGCAAACCTGTGTTACTAGTATACCAACCAGGAAGCAAAGGAACATCAGAGCCTCTACGGGCCTGTATAAAAACGACCACAGTGGCTTTCTCTACATCCTAATGAGTCTCTGAGGAGGACAGCATCAAAATATGACTTGGTTTTCCAGTGACTACCTAGAACTCATGCCTGTAAATTCTTGTTTCCTCTCTGACTTCTTCCAGCCAGTGTTTTTCTTGGGTGTTAAAAAGAGAGAACTAGGTTTGGAGTAAGAAAGTGTAAGTTTGACTCGGAGCAAAGTCCAGAATTAATGGAAGCCAGGGCTTGGTCAGATTGGATAGAACAGGCATGGGGACACTGCTCCTCCGCAGGCAGTGCGAAGGAAGTGGGGTGGGGGGGCCCTGGAAAGGGGAATGGTGATGAAGGTACTGCCAGAGAAAAGAAGACCCGGAGATTTACTGACTTCTTCCCTCCCACCTAGGTGTCTCTAGGCCCCTTCTTCTGCCCATCTCCCTGATGGTTGAATCAGATGGCTCATAGTCCTGTCCCAAGGTATAACCTTGAACAAATGGCTTAACCTCTCTTGAGTTTGTTTCCTGATCCCAAAATGGAAATGGAAATGCAGTTAGCCTACCTGCTGCATGCAGTGTCGTCCCAATCAAATGAAGTAATGAATACATGTAAGAGTAGTTGCCCCATCCACAAGGTGTATTGCCTGGCCAAAGTGATGCCCTTTTCTCATATTACTGTCAGAACAGCTTAGCTAGCAGGTTGGAAGAAAGGAGAGGAGGGTAAACTCTCCACACCTTGCTGGGCTGCCTTCTCTTCTAAGGCTCCAGATGTCTTATCTGAGGATTAAAGTCTTTCAAATCTCTCTGCTGGGAAAAGGGATTCCATGAGTGTAAATTGTTAATTGTTCATTTCATGCCACGTGACTGAGCACTGGGTCCACGCTGAACCTGCCATGCATTTGTGCCCAAGCATCTGTACTACCCGGCTACCAGGATGCCTGTTGTTGTTGTCAACAAAATTGACTCTGGCTGATTTACATAATATGGAATTTATTTAAAACATTGTATATTATGGAGCAGGATCAGTGGCTCTGCTACCAGGAACAAGCCCTAAAAATTATACTGCAGGACTGGTGTGGGGAAAACATCTTGAAGTCACCAGACACAGGCAGGCAGCATGTCTCGCCGCTGCTGCCTTTGGAAATCGGATGTAACTGTGCCCATCCCTGTTGCCCCCACCATTTGATAATCAGTCTTTTGTGACCCTGTCCCTGCTTCTTCCCAGCAGCAGGTTCTGATCCAAACTCTGGGCTAAGCAGGTACCTCTGAGGAGCAGGGCCCAGACGGAGTGCCCTGGCTGCACGGAAGGCTGGGAGGCAGCTGTATTCACCTGTGACCTGTAAAATGGGCTTCGCCTTCTAAGACAAGGATTCTCCAAACAGAAATGATTCAGATGCTGG